TCATTGCAGTCATCTGGTTTAATTTTATCAAGGAATAAAATCTGGAATTAATTACATATGGATTTGCATTTGTGTGTGTGCGTTCTTTGTCTGTTGTGATAATAAAACAACTGAAAAAGCACTGGACAGGTAACCTCTTAAAGTCAAGTACAGAGTCAGCCCAGTTCAAGATGGTTTCCACAGCTTATCAAATTCAGGATGGCTATAACTCAGTAAATCTTATAGATATGTTGAGCGAGTAGTAGCTGAGACTGATCCCAACATGTCCTCCAAGAGCTAATCCATATTTCGAGATTTTGCATAAGACTGTACTTTTTATATGCGCTGTTCTTGTATAAGGTTTGAAAAAAGAGCTCTAACTCCCTCTGCTCAACAAGATGACCTCTGACTTAGAAGGTGGTGGGTGATATGTATTCCTTGTAGAATGGTTACGGCTGTAATTAAAGAGGTTTCTACTGCTTTAAAAGCATTAGGAACCTGACAGGACAATTTTTTTTCATCAACCTTTATTTATCCAGGTTAGTCTCATTGAGCCACGATAACTCATTTACAAGAGAGACATGTTTAATCTCTGTTTTTAATTTCAGCTATTCCTGCAGTAGCTTGTGTCAATGAGAGCCCTTAATATTATTATTTTTATTTATTTAAACTTTACAGGTTAGTCTCATTAAGTCACAAGGATTCATTTTCAAGAGAGACCCGATTTAGACAGTAAAAAATAGTAAAAAGCAATAAAAATAAGAATAGTGTTATAAAAACACTGTTACTGTTGGCAGTGCGGTCCTGTTGGCAGAGATGTTTTCATTGACATTACTGGACGAAGTGCTCTGTTAGGAAAATATGGAACAATAAGATCTGTAATATAAGATGGAGCTAGGTGGTTGAGAACTTTGTAGGTTAGAAGTAAGATTTTGAATTCTGTTCTGGATTTGACAGGGAGCCAATGGAGAGAAGCTAAAACTGGAGAGATATGATCTCTCCCAGTAACTCCAGTTAAGACTCTGGCAGCAGCATTTTGGATCAACTGAAGACGTTTTAAAGAAGTATTTGGACACCCAGATAATAAACCACTACAATAGTCCAGTCTAGACGTGACAAATGCATGGACCAGTTTTTCTGCATCATCTTTAGATCAGATGTTTCTAATGTTAGTGATATTACGCAGGTGGAAGAAGGAGGTTCTAGTAACGTTTTTAATGTGGGGGATAAAAGACATGTCCTGATCAAAAATAACACCAAGATTTTTAACATTAGAGCTGGAGGACAGATTAATGCATCTAAGGAGGGAGAAGGACTGAAACATTCATTCCTAAGGTGCTCAGGTCCAAAAACTAAAACCTCAGTTTTGTCTCCAACATTTTTCAGTCAGGTCATCTGGACAGTTTCTTTTTGTGTACTGAAATGTTTCGCCTTCGATCCAGAAGGCTTCAACAGTCAAGGAAACACACAACAAAACTGATTCTTCCCCCCAACAGCTTACTCCAAAGTGGAACAAACCAGTTCTGCTTGTGA